TGTGCATAAATCCTGAGAGGCGGGGGTGCCTCGACACGAAAATCACCCCAACTGGAAGTCCAACGATTGAAAAAAGGGCAGAATGGCTGGGGACAACCAATAATCCAAATAGAGTCATACATAAAGCTTCAATGAAGTGAATGGATTATATTGGATTATATTATGTTCCATATATGTTCCATATATGTTCCATATATGTTCCATGTTCCATATATGGTATATATCGATCTATACATGATTAATCTTGGGGTAAGTAATGGCAACAAATGGGGAGCGTACGGATCGTTGAAATCACCTGCCAGCCAACCGCTGTGAAAATATGGAGGATGTTCCCATCTTGGGTCCCATCTGTAGAAACTGGCTAGTAACCCTAGGTGCCAACGACTTATGAACGGGTTTCACCCGTGAAATGGGGACTTATTTTGACCAGAGTCATTAAACAGATAGAGTTGGGGGATGATCCTCCAACTCGCATCTGGGCTTTTCCAGTTCCTCCAACGAATTATGTAAACAGCCACCATCTCCGATTGGTGGCCACACTGCCCTCATATCCTTGTGTTGTTCTGGTGCGCCATTCAGTTTGACCCGCCCAAAGAATGCCGTGCGAAGATATAAAACAAGTACTGCCAAGTGTCCGTTGGCATCTAAGAAATTCATCACAATCATCTTCCTCCTTGGACGCAAGAGGACAGGACCTCCGTAAAGCCGCCTCTTCAGGGCATAGGCGCACTATTGGCATTTCGGCCGAAGGCATCTTGAAAAAAGGAGTGGTACCTAATTATCATCCAAACCATTGTAATATACATATGTAAATAGAACTATGTATACATTATATATATATGCGATTATATATATATGTATGATTATATAATGTATATGTAGTATGCATATAGTCGTGCTTGATAAGAGGAAACCCATGGTGATGAGGGGTGGTCTATCCATTTTTTTGAATCATACCTCATAGACTCGGCTTCGCACTTTTTTAAAATCGAACTTTGGTCAAAATTGATCAACCCCAGAAAACAAATTATCTACTTGGACATCACCATGGATGAGCTTTCCAACCCATCCCAACCCACCTTACTCCATGCCGGGGCGCTGCGTCTCACGTAGGACCATGCTCTTTCCGTGAGACAGGTTCGTCCCCGTGCTCGCTCGTGTGGATGCCTTGAGCGACGGAAAATGTCTCCAGGCAACTGCAGTTCTCGGAAGCGTTTCCAACTTGCACCTACCCGGATCTTTGGGGATCATTTTGAATGTCACTGTTAATTACTTCAAATTATGTTTGGATATAATTATACATATAATATCATATAATATCATATTATATCATATTATATATATATATATCATATTATACCTAATATGGTCACCGTCCCCCACAGAACCCCCATATTGAGGATTGGGGCACTGGCCGTATACATATATATATATATATATATGTGTTAATTATATTCTGTTAGTGATCTAATTATGTCCGAGCAACATTCCAGAAAGTCAGATTGTTTAAGATCTTGGCTTTCCCCCCGACCTCCGGCCCCCATCTTGGCTTGGTGCGAAGGAGTCTGCACGAGAAATCACGGGATCAGAGAAAGTGCCTGGCGTCAAAGGCTGGAATAAATCCACCCTCTGGTAATCAAACACGGGAAATGGGAAATCTTCTAATGGTATGGAGGATTGAATGGGAAAATCATGTATGGGGGATTCTCATGGAATTTCCTTTGCTATGTTTGATTACAGAGGGTAAATTTTCAAAATATAGACAATTGTCATATTAAAATGCTCAGTAACCACCGCCCTGCTGGTGTCAGGCTTACAGTAACTTAATAAACAGGGCTCACAAAATGGAAGGAGTGTCAAGGAGGGATCAGCCCTAAGTATTTGGGGCCAGAGCCTCCTATGGAAAATAAAACGTTTGATCAATCCCCCTATTTTGAATGTCTTTGATGGTTCAAGATTGTCAATCGTAAACGTTGGAAAACGTGGTGTCCGTGCACTAGGGGATTACCATTGCAACACTATATTATAATTGCAAAATTATGCACACGTTTCTATGCATTCGTGTCCTTTCTGCCAGGCCTCAGCTTCAATTTCGGGCACAAGGATTCCAAATAAACTCATAAAATCTCAAATGGATGATGTCTAGATATATCATGATATAAAATATAAATAAACAACTATCATAACATCATATATTAATATAAATATATATATATGTATATTAATATCTATTGTATAATAAATAAGCATTTCCTTGATGTTTTGAGGCCAGGGTGGCTCCTCCTGAATTTTTGGCACCTCCGGGAGGACCGGAAGACGCGTCCAGCCCCGTGTCGGCGAAGTGCATGGAGGGTGGTGGCCTGGGAAGATCGAGCCGCGAAGAGCGAAATCCATGGGAAAATCCGTTGGAAAATGGTGAACATCATTGGACAATGGGAGAATCAGGTGACATCATTGGAAAATCATGGTCTAAAAATGTCTAAAATGGAAGAATCATTGGAAAATGCATGGGAAAATGAGATGGGAACAATCATGGGGAAATACAAAATATGAAGAAACACATATGAAATATTATGTTTTCATCATGGAAACATACTTGGATTTGCTTAAGGAGGCCAGACATAGAAAATCATCCCAGTGGATTCTACATGTTTTTGGTGGAGTAACCAATGGGAAGAACACAGAAATCTTCAGCAAATCCAGGAATATGGAGAAGATGGAAAGTATAAATAAATAAAGGCACATAACAAAACAATCATCATCTTTCGGAATCATGTCAGAATTAAGATTCAAACTTGTTTCATGGATCTTAGAAAACACATGCAATGATCGAAGGCAAGGGTTCTACAGACTTTCAATGGTTGGCTGGCCTTAGGAGCACCGGTAGCTGCTTCGAGCGTTCCATGCTTTCGCTACGTGTAGAGGAGCGGGAGCCGCTTCTCCATGAGAAGAACATGAGGCTGATCCGGGAAAGGTCCGAGATCCGCTTGGGACGAAACAAAATCTAAGAGCCTTCTGTGTTGCTGCGGAGATGAAAGCCAATGGTTTCACCGTCGAGAAAACACATTCAGAGCTGAGGGATGGCGGGCTGGCATATGAGGAACACAGGACTTGTTTTGCGATGTCATGATCCCTCCAGGTGATACTAACAAGCCGGACCACCAACATCTTTTCCCACCCTTACCTTTGCCAAATAAACACTAAACTATAAGTGGTTTGCTGGAGAATCCACCATTTAGCTCGAGATGTTTTTTTCAGCGAACTAAACCTCCATTTATAGGGGATTTCCCAGCTATGTTTGGTAAAAAAATGTCAGCAAAAATCGGGCCAACATCCAGACAGGCGCCTTGGTGGAATCCTCCAACTGCTCCAGCCCTGATCGAAATCCGCCACCGGGCGCCATGGTGGGTTTACCCCAAAGGATCATCAGCCCATGATCGAAGCAATGAACATAGACGGCATCAAAAGGCCGGTTATTGATGGATCAATAATCATTGATGGTTTACTATTTGTAAGATCATAGTTGACAGATTTTGAAATAATCAACCAGACTGGATAATATTGGATAATATTGGATGGCTATTGACTATGGTTGACGAATGTTGCTGAGTAGCTGTGGGAGGTCAATGGAAAACATGACCTAATCATTTTTGCCTGTCCAACAACAAACAGATCTGGACCAAGTAGATGTGCCGAGCGCAACTCCAATGCAGAAAAAAACAATTAAAGGACCGGATAACCCCACATGTTACCAACTTCTCTAGATTTAGACTGGGCATAGAAAAGCAAGAAGGGAAGAGGAAGTATAAGAGTGATGGAGCGGTGATGGTGGGTGAGTTTGTGTGTGTGTATGTATGTTCAAGTACAGTGAGTGAGTGAGTGAGTGAGTGAGTGAGTCAGTGAGTGTGTGAGTGACTGCCACGCCTGCCATGCAAAAGCGGCGGAGACCCAAGGGACGCCAGGGCGTACATCCGAGCCCTTGGCAGTGCAGATTGTGCCACGCCTGCCACGCAAAAGAGGCGGAGACCCAAGGGACGCCAGGGCGTACATCCGAGCCCTTGGCAGTGCACATTGTGCCACGCCTGCCACGCAAAAGAGGCGGAGACCCAAGGGACGCCAGGGCGTACATCCGAGCCCTTGGCAGTGCACATTGTCCCACGCCTGCCACGCGAAAGCGGCGGAGACCCAAGGGACGCCAGGGCGTACATCCGAGCCCTTGGCAGCGCACATTGTCACACGCCTGCCACGCAAAAGAGGCGGAGACCCAAGGGACGCCAGGGCGTACATCCGAGCCCTTGGCAGTGCACATTGTGCCACGCCTGCCACGCAAAAGAGGCGGAGACCCAACTTGGATGGGCTGTGGTCTTGCTAGTGGGTTATGATGTTTAAAAGCCTTATGTAAATATATCTTAATTTGTACTTAGATGTATGTTACAGTTATGCTAACATCATCCTAGTTGTTTAACATGTTTAAAACATTTAGCTAAAAAAAATAAAGTTAGCTAAGTCATCTTATTTTTTTTTAATTTTGCTAAAAATTAGCAAGTACTTAGCTGATTTAAGTTAATTTGGAAAAGATTGTTTTTTAAATGAATTTTCCATTCTTTTGCACAAGAGCAAAGCAGACAGGAATGTTTGTGCATGTGCACGATTTGAACAAGGGGCACAGAACTTTTTTCCTTTTGGTGCAAACCTTTCTGGTACAACTCTTTTGAAAGCTCTTTGTAGCTATCTATTGCAAGCCCATAGTGGCTAGAAGTTTTGGCAGCAAGCTTGAATAGCTAAGTTTTAGTCAGCAAGCTTGGATAGCTAATTGTTGCAAGTCCTTCAATGGCTTCTTTGTCTAGCAACTTGTGGCATGGCTCAAGCAGAAAACAAATTGAACACTGGATGGGCAAGCCTTTGACAAGAAAAGCATGATCCCACATGTTCCACTAACATGCACATGTTCTGGCATTTTGTTTTGCAACACATGCAGTAGCACTGAAACTTTTGCAGCCATGAGCCAAATCCCTGCAGAAGTGGTGAAGGAAGTGGACACCATCTTGGCCAATGAAGCCTTGCCAGTGCTGCAGAAAGTGGAGAAGCTGTTCAAGACTTTCAGTGGCAGTGGCTTTGGGTACAAGCAGCATGTGCTGCCCAAGGATACACTGACTCACCCTAGCAATAGAGGGGGGAGTATGCTGAATGCTGCAGATGTCTGGGAAAAGGGCCATCGAATGGTCAAAGTGGGTGTCCAACCTTCACTTCTCAATGAAGGTGCTGTGGCTTTCGAGTTGGCAACAGAGGAAGGCATGAGAAAGAGGCAACTGGATGCAAATGTGGCCTTGGTCAAAGCTTCTGGTGACACCCTGGCCCCAGTGACTTTCCAGGAAAGGTTTTTGACAGTGGCAACCAGCCACACTGCTGCCTTCTGCAAAGCAGTGGAGCAAGGGTTGAAAGGACCCCTGGGGTTTCCAGTGGATCCAAAGCAAGACCCTGGGTTGCAGCAATTGTGCTCCAAGGGCTGGCCTTTCCTTGTTTTGAGCAACGCAGTGGAAGTGAAATGGCCCCAGCTGCCCAGCTACATTCAATCAGCTTTGAATGCAGTGAACAACTCCTACCAGCAGATGACTGAGATCGAAGCTGCAAGTCAAATAAATGTGCGAGTACTTGAACCATGGAATGGCCTTGAAGGAAGCTTTGCAAAAAGTGCAGGAATGTGACCCCGCTTGCAAGAGGTCTCTGGAAGCCATTGCATGGTTTGTCTCCAGGTATGCAGGAGAGAGGCAATGCCTAGTGAAGTTCTTGGCTCACTTCAGCAGCTGGGCTTAAATTAGCTTGAACCCTTGAATGGCTGCAAGTAGCAATTGAAAGCCCTGGTGGCTATGTCAATAAGCCCAATGTGGCTCACAGCTGGCCAGCCCTTTAGTGGCTATTGCAAAACACCAGACATCATTTGCCTTGGTGAGCTGAGGTAAGACCTATGGGTCACTGCTTCTGGGGGAAGAGATGATGAAGTCCATTGCCTACATGGAGTTCAAAGGCTCTACCTCCTTGTACCCTTTCCTGAGGACAGCACTGCAACTTGGCATTTTGTTGAACATGGGCCATTAGCTTTTTTTGCTGGTAATCCATTGATTCTGTAGGCAAAGGTTTTTTTTGCTTACTGCTTGACAGCTGAGGTGGGCTTCAATGATGTGCAGCAACCGATCCAGTGATGGATACTCTAAGCTCCTGAACAAGTCAGATTGTGAGAAGCTGAAGAATGCTGCTTTCAAGGCTCAAGTGGACATGGCTGAGTAGCTTGTTTGCATTTGTTTTGTTGCAGTGGTTTGAAGTTTCTACCTTTTACCAAGCACATGTTGCATTATGCCCTGTAAACATGACATGTCTACTTTGGGTTCATGGCCTGCAGCTTCAGGCAAGCTTTGGCAGATGGCTGGGAAGTGATCCAGAAATCTACTGCTGAACAAGCCACCAAATTGGCTGCCTTTGGGAGATTGCTTTGGCAGATGGCAGACTGACTTTGCCAGAAATCTACTGCTGAACAAGCCACCAAATTGGCTGCCTTTGGGAGATTGTGTACCAGACTGACTTTGCATGTCTTGAAGAAAGAGAAGCACGGCAGAGAACCAGCTGGACATGAAAGCATCAATGCTATTTGCACACTGTTTGCTGCTGATTTGGCTGGTGGAGCTAAACCAAGTGTCAGAAAGGAAGAGGCCAAGCCCACTGTTGAACTGGAGGTGAAGAATGTCTTGGCCAGTACACCTGCTGAGCTGGCACTGTTGCAAAATCCGCACATGAAGCAGGGCCAATTGTGACTTGGCACAATGAAAGTTTCTTTTATTTCCTTAGGGTTGGTTTTCTTTTGACAAGTGTTTGTTTGCCAAAGCATTTCTGCAAGGTACACATGTTCAAAGGAGCATGGAAACAAGATTTGGACTTTCTTGAACAGCAGTGCAAGCAAAGTGAAATTCTCTCACCAGCCAGTGTTTGGCCCAGCTGAAAGCATTGAAGTGGAATTTGAGAAGCTGAAGGAGTGGAAGGTGTGCAAGTCAGCACCTCCAGAGAAATGCCACCATTTGAAAGCTCTTGCCCACATGGCAGTTGCCAATGGTTCTGCAATTGTGGCTTTAGAGCTGCAGAAAGCACATGTGCAGAAGACTTTGCTGCAAGTGTGTGTTGACCAAATGGTTGGTCCTGAGGATGTAGCCTTCAGCAACCACCCCAACTTGGTTTGGTCAGTGAAGAAGGTGAAGAAAGGAGCATTGAAATTGTTCCCAGCAGGCACTGTCACCAAAGTGAAAGACACACCAGTTGGAGGCAAGCATTACATCAAGGCCTTTGGGCACCATTGGCTTGTTCAGCCTTTCAAAGCTTTGACTGACTTCAAGAAGGGTGAAGGTGTTCTGGCTCCTTTCTGGTGGGTGAAAAGTGCTGACAATGAGGGCAACATGCAGCTGGCAGAAGCTACAGTGGATGGTTGCAAGATCCCTTACTTGGTGAACTGCACTCCTCTGGGCCCTGAAGAGATGCTGGTCCTTGAGAAGCCTGAAAATGCTTCTTCTGCTAAAAAGCAGAAACTGAAGGCTTAGGTGTGAACAAGGCGGAGAAGGAATGCTGTTTTGCCATAGGCATTCCATCTTTTTGTACAGCTAGGACTGATGGAGTCAGTTCTCTTTTGCCTACAAGGGTGGTACCTAGCCACTGTGCAGAATGAAATAGAAAGTGTTTGGCAAGCCTGCATATGGCTAGTGTCACTGTGGAAGCAAAGCCCCAGTGGCTCAACAAGTGGCATGCTCAGCTTTCATAGCTAGTGAGTGCATCCAAGCCCTCAGTGGCTTTCCTTGCAAGTGTTTCTTCCAAGCTGCCATGGTTGCATGAACCCCTTGCTGCCCCAATGGCAATGATGCTGATCCTTGAATTTGCAGTGCTTTGGCTTCAAGCCCACTGTTTTGGCATTTCTTTTTGCATGTGGGTATAGTGCAATGGCAGCCATGGTGCAGCTTCGAACTTCTTGGGAAATCAAGTACCAGGATGACAAGTGGATGTCTTTGCCTTCAACATTGGTTGAAACTTTTGAAGGGAATGCCTATTTGAAAATCAGGCCTTCTCACCCAAGCATAGTGAAGCTGGTGTCAAGGAGCAAAGTGAAGAACCCGTCCTTGTCTAGCAGTGTTCACTTGCAGAAAATGCTTGAGGACAGGAACACTGCAGCCATGACATTTTTGAATGCCCAGGGTCAAGCTGCTGAGCCAAAAGAGAACTTGTTTGAAGAGAGTGAGGAAGTGGAAGACAAGCAGCCTGCCTCCAAGAAGAGAAAATGTGCAGATGCTGGTGATTTCACTGTTGAGATTCAAGTCCAAGAGCAGCCTGTACAAGTTCTTCTGAGAGGTGCCAGGCCTACTAGAAGTGATTTGCTGGTTCGAATGGAACCAGATCAGCTAAAAGCTGTTTTGCAACTGCTTGAAGAAGAAGCTGCAGACTGCTTAGCTGCAGATAGGAGGCAGTACAAGAAAGCTAAGCAATGACTCTGTTGACTTCCACTGACTGTACCTAGCATGGCTCCTGTGCTGCTGGAAAAATGATCGCTTTGTAAACCATGAACCAAGCCTTGATGGCTACACTTCTCATGTCAAGCCTTCATGGCTTGTGGCAGCCTTTGCTTTTGCAAGCCCTTGAGGCTAGTTGGTTTTACTTTCAGTTGGTTGGAGCACAGAAGTTTGTGGTTGCCTTGCAGCTCCTGGTTCGAACATTTTTTTCAATGCATGTAGTGTGTGCCTGTGTGTGGCAGGAATGAGCTTGTGCAGGAAAATCCTGCAGCTTTTTTTTGGCCCTCTACTGGTGCAGGCAATGTGTGGTGCCCAAAGCTTGACTACATCACTGGATCATGAGAACAGCTATGGCTTGCTTGCTTCTTCTAGCAGCTGTTTCTTGGAAGGACAATGTTGCAACCTTTTGGTTCTCTGGAAAGGCATTGCAGGTTGTAGAATGAGAAAGAGCTTCTCCTGGAAAGCTGCTATTTCTTTGGCAATTTGGGAAACATCAGTCTTTGTGGCAAAAGCCAAAGGCCTTTACAAAATCAATTCTGCAGAATTGAACAGTTGGTGCTACAGAAATTGTTGTGTAAAGGCTTCTGGTGGTCATTGAAAGGATTGACTGAATGTGTTTGCACTTTGTTTAGCAAAAATGATTTTAGACCTAGCTGTGGCAATGTGCACATGCAGAAACCACTCCTACCTGTGGAGGGTGACTGTGTCATCTTTTTGATGCAGTCGCCATCCATCAGCAGGGCTGATTTCTGCATGTGCATAGTGCAATTCTACAAGGTGGAAGACATATTTCCACAATGTTTCCAACTTCCAATTAATGTGTTTTTTTGCTTGGAAAACCAAGTGACTGCCTGCTACAGTGCAGCAGCAAATCTGTAGGAACAAAAAGCTGTGGTCCATCAATGGCATTGCATGCCTACACCATGGCTTGGGGTTGGCAACCTTAACTCGTGACAAGCCCATTGTGGCTAGTTTTGCATATTCTAGTGTGTGCAAGCCCAATGTGGCTTATTGTATCTCTTTAATTCCTCTAAGGCTTTGGAACTTTGATTGAATCAAAGTAGATTCAGCCCATTGTGGCTAGTGTTATATCATTGCTGTGCAAGCCCCTTGTGGCTATTGTTTTCTCATGACTGCACATTCCATTTTTGGTGCAGACACACTTGTTTCAAAACCATTGCCTTTTTACTACTTTCTCTGGCACTGTGCAAGCCCAATGTGGCTAGTTGATAGAACCTGTCACCTCATTGTTGCTAGTGATGAATCTAAATAATGTTCAAAGAACTCCATTCTCTTTTGCAAAAAAGGAAGCTACCAAGCTATTGTGTACAATGTGGTTGATAGTACTGCAGCATTGGATATGGGTAAGCAATGTGGCTCAATGTGTGTAGGGTTGACTGGCTGACTGAATGACTGACTGGTCAAAATGCCTATCATTACCAACCTGGAGCACTGGCACAATGGTACCCAACTCACCTTTGACTGTGGAAGAACAGTGTGGCATCTTGGCCGCAAATTTCATTCACAGGATTTTGCAAAGTTTCAAGTGTTCATGAATTTTGTGTATAGAATGTGTACATCTAAGGGTGGGAAGTGTGGATCTTTGACTGCATACTAGTATGTGTGTTTTGTTTTCATTTGGTTATATGGCTGGTATTGAATATGCTTGATTGACAAACATGGTTCATTTTCATCAATGTAAATAGCTAAGGAAATTGAGAGAGGAAGTAGCCAGAATGGCCTGTGAGGAGGTAGGCTTAGGAGTGGCAATGATGTTCACACCTGAAGGACCGCGATGACCTGCCTGCACTGGAGTGAAAAAATATTTGTTGTTTACACCAAGAGAACTGTAGCCTTTAATGGCTGGGAGATGTAGTAGCAAGCCTTTATGGCTAGTTGACATGGAAGCCTGCATGTCTGCAATGTAAGCCTTCATGGCTGACTTGTTTCAAGCCTTAATGGCTTTACTGGTTTCAAGCCTCAATGGCTACAAAACATTGATTCAAGTCCCATGTGGCTATGATGTTTCACTGAAACCATGTGTTTAAGTGCTGCACTGTTGTTCAAGGAAAAGTAGAACTGAGGATGACTGAGATGAATGCCATGGAGGAGGTACCCTTGGTGGTGGACACATGCTACACTGACCATGGATCCCTGGAGTTTGTGGTTTTTTTCAGTGATAAGACTTCACTGAGGTGGGGCCAGACTACCTGACCAACCCAAAAGTTTAATGTTGGTACATACATTGCTGTTTTCTCCAACTGTGAAACCCTGAAGGTTTGATCCACCAGCCTCCAATGGTAAGACCACATATTGGGAACAAGGAGAAGATGGACTGACCTACAGGGTGATGAAGAATGGCAAGATAGTGAACAAGGTGTCAGTGGCCTGCTTGAGCAAAATGATTTACAATGTACCCAAGCCCATGGCACAGATTGCCATTGATCATTTTTTTGGATCCTGAAAGTAATGATGAAGTAATCAACACAAAATGATTGCAAGATTTTGAAATGCATCCATTTTCATAGATTATGTTTCAAAGCAATTTGGGAAATGGATCCAAAGATCGAAGACTGCATACAGACAAATGTCAGCCAGTCTATGTAAAAGAATTGTTTGAGTCACTTTGCCAGGAGATTGTCTGCAAGCCTGCAATGGCTTTGACTGACAAGTGCATAGTAGTTTATGGAATGCAAGCCCACAGTGGCTAGTTGATAGGTGGACCAGAGCTCAAGCCCAATGTGGCTAGTGGAATGCAAGCCCACAGTGGCTAGTTGAAAAGTTGAACTAGAGCTCAAGCCCAATGTGGCTAGTTGGAATAATTGAAAGAAAACTGCACTGGATGCTTAATCACAATCTTTTGATGGTCCACTGCAAGCCTTCATAGCTAGTATTGGTAGTTTCCACTGTGTTGACTTAGTGTCATGGTAGCAATTCGAACTGCTCAAGTCTCAGGAAAATGAGATTGTAGTATATTGTAGTGACACCATGTATCAGAACAACAAGAATTATGACACAAAGAATACTTGATATGATTTACATTATATTGGCATCACTGGCTTCCTGAGATGCTTTCTAAAGTTCGACCTTGACCAATATATTTGCTGATTTTAAATATGCATGTTTACATCAATATGCAATTTTAGATTCAGATGTTGAATCTAAATTGTAAATACTGAATTTTAGATTAAGAATCTGAATCTAAAAATGAAAATTTTGGATTTTAGATTTAGATTCTTAATCTAAATTGTAAATATAGAATTTTAGATTTAGAATCTGAATCTAAATCAAAAATTTTGGATTTTTAGATTCAGAATCTGAATCTACACATTTTGTTCAAAATACAAATATTGCAATAATTTATCCATAAAATGAAAAATAATTCAACAAAAAATGCATATGCATAGGCTCTGTAATAATATATTTCAAAGATGCTTGACAAAACTAACTTCAGTTTTTCTCGCTGCAGTCACACTGTGCCACCTAGCAATGAGCTCTTCAATGCCAACTGATGAAGAAGATGCTTGGGAAGTTCCAGGTACAGCATTTAATCTCTTGGTGAAGAAGGAGAAAGATGATGATGATGATGATAAGACTCAGCCTCCTAGCCCAGTGATGGAAGATATAGAAGAGGAACCATTGGAGGTTGAGCAGAAGTCATTGCTTGACCTGGTAGCTTCATTGCCTGAAAACACCATTGAAGAGTTTCTTGCATTGGATTTGGGGTAAACTGTTGTTGTTTCTATTGTGATATACTTGACCATTGTTTGTTCTCCACTACAATGTTTGTCCAAAGTGATTGTTGTTGTTGCTTTGAACTTTCTTTTGAACCATGTTGATGGAATCCCTCAAGTGATAAGTTTCTCAGGAAAATGGATGTAGACAGCTTGGGCAAGCTACTGGTGGAGGAGATTGAGAAGTACAAGAAGGCAATGGGGATTGCTGTCAAAGAGGAACAGGATGAGGATGCAGTGAAGGACAAGACTGACAAGGAAATTACTGAGATGAAAAAAGAGCCAATGGAGAAGAGAAAATTGCCCATG